CTCAGGCACATTTCTTCTATCTTTGTTAACATTGAATACTAATACTAAACATTTCTTTTATGCTGTTCCTTTTTTTTTTTTAAATAGAAACTCACAAATATTTAGAGAGGCAGATGTGAGGGGCTGACAGAATCCCAGGTATCTTCTGACCCATGTGTTATAGGAAAGCTTTGCACAGGCTTAGATATGGCTTTCTCCTTTGGAAATCTCCCCAATCGAAATGGTGGACTCAGAACCCTAACCAAGAAAAGAGAGAAGACAGAACAGGTCAATCAACCATCTCAGCTATATGTTGGGAGTGAAATATGGGGCAAACAGAGACTCTATGATGGACTATGTCAATCAGTGGATTCTTCAAGGACCTCATAGTGCTTGGAGTGGCAAGATTGGCAGTGATTCACAACCAGTGAACTATCAAAACCACTTGAGCAGGAACCTTGGAGCATACCCTACATCCGGGACCTGGGGAGGGTGGGAAATTGGGTGGGCCTTCTCCCTTGATACCCCCCTTTAAACATGAAGGAAACAATATGTAAATGATGGTCTTGCCCACTTTCCTATAGCCACTCAATCTTTTTACCCTAATTAACTATGGAAAGATTGTAAAAAATATAATAATAATAATAATAATAATAATAATAATAATAAAAGGCAGAGGGGCAGGGACAGAAAGAAAAAAAAGATATGGCTTTCTCAAATGTTGACTGCTTCTTGAAAAGCAGTCTCGGGAACCTTTCAAGGAGCCATGTGACAAGGGCGATGATCTGAATGAATTTTTGGTTGAAGACAGTATAGGCAACAAGAGGTCATATTGAGCTTCCTGAAGACAGATTGGCTGCAAGTCTGCAGTTGCTTGGGAAACTGCAGTGCGTTGGGCTGGGCCGAACCATTCCCTGGGCAGCGGCTACTCTGTGTAGGTAAGTGAGCTAACTAGAGGGTAGAAGACCTCTCTAACTCTCCTCTCTCTGTGGAATCTATCTTATAAATGTTAAAAAACAAAAAGAAGAAATTTTGGCCTAATTTACTACCCCTCTAACCCCGTGATTTAGGTGGCTCTTACATGCACAGAATTGCTGCTGTGGAGAGAATGTTGGGCCTAGCAGTTGAAATGCTTGGACCCTGGCATCATAGCGTAGTGGTTAAAGTCCTAGCCTTGCACGTGCCAGGATCCCATATGGGTGCCGGTTCTAATCTCAGCGGCCCCGTTTCCCGGGGAAGGCAATAGAAGACAACCCAAAGCCTTGGAACCCTGCACCCGTGTGGGAGACCTGGAAGAAGCTCCTGGTTACAGATTGGCACAGCACTAGCCATTGCGGTCACTTGGGGAGTGAACCATTGGAAGGAGGACCTTCCTCTCTGTCTCCCCTCCTCTCTGTATATCTGCCTTTCCAATAAAAATAAATGAATCTTAAAAATAAAAAAGAAATGATTGTATCACATATTGGAGTGCCTGGGTCTGATACCTGCCTCAGGCTGCCAGTCTGGCTTCCTGTTAAAGCAGGTACTGGGAGGCAGTGTTGACTGCCGAGGTGCTTGGTTGCTGCCATTAATGAGGGAGACCTTGACTGCGGTCCTGACTTTCAGCTTTGTCCTTGGAGCAGCTCTGACTGTGTGAGCATGTGGAGAGTAAATTAGTGCATAGGAGCTTTTTCTTTCTGTCTCTTTGATTCTTAAATAAAAGTTTTCAGATTTCTAAAAACACAATTTAGCAATAAATTCAGAAAACAATTTTGATCATAATATGTAGTATTTTTGTGAATAAAGCAATGCTGCTTCTCTGTCCCCAGCTTTCTTCTTCTTCTTCTTCTTCCTCTTCTTCTTTTTTTCACATTATAGTCAGTTAAGCAGAAAATGAGGGAGAATGCTATAGAAAGACAGGTGATGGTCACTTCATGATAAAGGTAAAAAGATAGAAAAAGCATTAGGAAACAAAAGAAAAGCACTCGGAGAATGTATATGAAGTGGTTTCTGGCTAATGTTTAGTAACAGTGAACATTGTAGGGTTTTCTTTTGATATTCTGAAGAATCCTAATGATTTTGTGTATCTGGATTTCAGTTTCCCAAGTGGATGGCTGGCTTTATCTAGGCTGATGGCATCGTCAGTGAAGTTGAGTGTTTATTAAAAAGTCCTACTGGCAGGTGTTGTGGTGCAGTGCATCAGGCTGCCACTGGAGACACCTGCATGCTGTATCAGAGTGTCAGGTTAAGTCCCTGCATCTCTGCTTCCACTCCAGCTTCAGACTAATGCACACAGGAGGAAAGCAGGTTGTGAGCTAGGTGTTTGGATCTGTGTTCCCCACGTGGGCCATGCAGAGTTCCTGCCTCCTGACTCTGACCTGGCCCAGTGCTGGCTGTTGTGAACATTGGGAGGCCTCATTCCTCTCCCGTTTTCCTCTCTCTTTCTCTCTGTTGCCCTATATTTCAAATAATTGAATATTCTTAATGAGGCCTTTATGTATAGAGAACTTCTGTTCGTCGTAAACTAAGCTAGGAAATTCTTGAATGGTTATTATTCAACAGATGTTTATTGTTGATAATGCCAGCCCAGTAGTTTATAGCCTGATAAGCGTGCAGATAAATAAGCAGACAATGAGTGATTAAGTAGCAGATGTTGCAACAGGCAAGATACAGCAGGAAGGGAGACAAGGGAGAGGGCTTCACCACTCTTGAGAATGAGGGAACAGTTTGGGTAAAAGTGAAATATTAATGTTGCATTTTGGAGAGTGAAAAGGGACTAGCCAAGAATGTCCAAAGAGTTGGATATTCAGAGACTTATGGGTAGACATGTTCCCGTGTGTGGAGAACGGATGATGGTCCTACATGGCTAGAGTGAAGCTGGAGATTCAAGTGGGGCTTACACCATGCTGGATCTCATGTATGATATGAAGAAGTTTGAAATTTACTGTAAGGGTATTCCTTTTTATATACAGGTTTTATGTTAACCTCTGTTGTCTTATTTCTGTCATTCTGTTTGTGACATATAAACAGGGACTTATCTAAGTAGGCACATGACTAGAAGGTATTAATGTAGCAAGTGTTTTTCTTTTCATTAATATAAAGAAAGTACATTTTATAATGCCGTAAGTATAGTTCCAAGAAGGCAGATTTCCCTCGTTAATTGTACTGTGACTGGCTTGGGTAACTTGACTGATAACCAATCCTCCACATTGACATAAAACATTCCCTGACTGATAAGAGTGGCTAATAGCGTCTGGACTGTGCAAACAGTATAGCTTATTTGGAAATTTTGCTTTGCTTTTGAGACTCTGGGTCCTTGATGCATGTGAGTCAGAAAGGGTCCAAGCAGGCAGCTCCCATTAAAACCTTGGGGTCTGGGGCCCGGCGCGGTGGCGCAAGTGGTTAAGTCCTCGCCTTGCACGCCCGGGATCCCATATGGGCGCCGGTTCTAATCCCGGCAGCCCCGCTTCCCTTCCAGCTCCCTGCCTGTGGCCTGGGAAAGCAGTTGAGGACGGCCCAAAGCTTTGGGACCCTGCACCCGCGTGGGAGACCCGGAAGAGGCTCCTGGCTTCGGATCGGCATAGTATCGGCCCGTTGCGGCTCACTTGGGGAGTGAATCATCGGATGTAAGATCTTCCTCTCTGTCTCTCCTCTCTGTATATCCGCCTTTCCAATAAAAAATAATAAAAATAAATCTTTAAAAAAAAAAAAACCTTGGGGTCTGAGTCTAAGATTCCTATGCAGAGGCATCACACACATAAGTGCATTTTCACTGCTGGTGAAAGCATACTGCCTGTGTAGCATTTCAGGAGAGAACCTAAGAAAGCCGATAAATGAATTTTGACAGACCCCATGTGTGAGCTTTCCTGTGTCCTTACTCTAGTGCTGGGGCAGGTTTCAGTCACGAATGGACCACATGCTGAACTCTACTATTCCTTCTGTGAATCTCCTAATGTGAGGAAGGTCTTGAGGACTCTACTGTGCACACTCAAGTTGCTTGTAAATATTTATTAATGAGAAATCAGCTTTCAAAGATAAAAATATTAGTGTTCATTTATATGTAAGCATACAAACATAAAAGGTATAAGTTATGCCAACTTAGTTCACCCAAAACTTGCTTTAGTTATTTCTCATCATAGTCTTCAAACTCTCAAACATTCAAGCATCTCAAGAAAACTAATTTATTGACAGTTGAGGTTGCACTGAATTTGACAGTTTCTGGAATACCGAAGGCACCAGTGTTCTTGAAGTGCTCCACGCAAATGCCTGCACCCTCTAGACACCATCTCTTGTTACATTGACACACCTAAGTTATGAGATTTTTTTTATATAATTTATACTGGGAACATTTGATTCAAGGCTTACTTTTACAGCAATCTGTTAAACAATTAAAAGGAACTCCTGACTTTTTATTGAACTTTACATTCAGGTTGCAGGAACTTGTAGCCAAGCAGGAAATCCTACGATATGTTATGACTTCCTCACTTTTGAAAATTCTTCAGAGCTTTGTCACTTCTTACTGAGTAACTGGTGGTGATGTGATTGTGTTGGGAAACCTTCTCTAGATAAGCCTTTTTCTCAGTCTGGTTTGTGGTAGAATTGTGGAAATGATACGTTTGTTGCTTCTTGCTCTCTGACCATGTAGCTTCTTTTCTTTTTCTTTTTTTTTTTTTCTCCGATTTTCATATGATACGAAGAGAGAAAGAAAAGAGAGAAGGGGGGAGAAGGAAAAGAGAAAATCTCCCATCCTCTCATGTACTTTACAAAAACCTGTGATAGTGAGGTCTGGGGCATGCTGAAGCCAGAGCTGGGATGCCAGTGTGGGTCTTCCTGTGAGTGGCAGAGAATCAGCTGCCTGAGCCCTCGCCTGCTGCTTCTCACAGAGAATATTAGCAAAAAGCTGGAGTTGAAAATGACATTAGAACTTGAACCCATCTCCAGTGTGAGACGCAGGTGGCATAAGCATAGTGATGGACCACATGCATACTCCTTTTCATTGCTGTTTTCTCTGTATCAACACTTGCATGGTTTCTTTATTCCAGTTTTCCAGAGAGATGGTCATTCAGAGCCTATACATCTGTTCTCTATTTTGACCCTTGGATGAGAATATTCATTCAAGCCAAAAAGGTTCAAACGAAGCACCTATGTTATTGTCTCTACAGACCCAGGTACCTTCCTTCAATTCTTTTCACAGAGTTTTTACTGATAAAATTGATGTGTACCCCCAAATTTTTACAATAAGGACATTAACATTGATAGTAAGATTCTTACATTATATTAAAAAAATTCAAACAGCATCCAGGAAGGTTTACTGAAACAGTTGGCAGTTTGGGCCTCAAGCTGAAGTAAATGTGCTAAGTTAGGTAATCACACCAAGAATTTTCTTTTCACGCCAGGTGCTTTGATTATGATATGTTCCATTACAAGGTCATGGTTCATTCAGATGAGTATGCACTTTGATGCAATGTGTTTATTAATTATAAGCATTTTATTACCAGTCATCCTTAGTAATAAGTAATTAGTAATAATTATTATCAAATGATACTTATTTTTACACCATATACTGTCCTACATCACATAACTATGTTTCAGTCAACAATAGACCACACAGGAAAGACGTGGTTTTTTGAGATTATGTTATTCAGTCACATCAAAGCCATATGAATTTGTGTCAGCACATGATACTTTAATAATAGCATTTTCACTATGTTTCTCACATTACATTCGTATTGATAACATATGTTTGTCCCTATTTTCATGTTTGTTATATGTAGAGAATGAACATATGCGCTTTTGCAACTACTTATCTGGTCCACATATATGTTTTTCTATTTTAGTATATGCTGTTTTTAAGTTTGCATTTGCATTTTATTAAATCCATGTAACTCAAGCATGGATGCTATCAGAATGGTCTTTTTAATTTTTTTGGTGTGTTTTCTGAGTGGTGAGTCGTTTAATACCAGATGTTGGTCAAAATCATCTGTGAATCTGAGATTGTACAAGATACAAGCATAAAAATTAGGACCAATTCTACATTTGAGAACCTTAATATTTACTGAAATATTTAATGCTCATCCACTGCTGATATGTGTCTGTTTACTTATTGTATTTGATTTCTGCAATAATGCTGTGTGTTTTCTTATCATTTTAGAGATAAAAATTTGTCAAAAGGGAACAACCACCAAAATTTTTACCATTCCAGCTTTTACATTCTCCTTTGATTAGGTCTAGCTTAGTAATGTCTTATTTTAAGGAGTGAATGTTAACAATTGTGTGTTTGTCTCACACTGGTGGAATTCTCCAAAACTCTGCTTTTTGAGTTCTGATTATGTGACAACCCATGTTTACTGAGACTGGGGCTTTTTTCTCTACTTGTTCGTTCCTTGATAAATATCAAAGTTTCATTTAACATAGCTGGTCTCTTCAAATTAAATTATTCCTTTCATTGGTTTTGTTAAAAACAATGGTTTGTACTGATGGAAGATGTGAGGTTGTATCTATTTTTTGAAGTAATTCTAGCAAATTGAATTTCACATACCTAAATTACTTATACAAAAATGGTTGTGGTTTCCCATTCTAGTGTAGTTTTAATTCATCTTGCAAATTGACATTTTTAGACAGTTTTTATCAGGAAATAGCTATTGTACAAATATATGTTTATAGTTTCCTAAAGGAGATTTCAGGACATTTGAACTATTGCTGAGTTTCCTTTGGAACTCCAACAATTATATCTGATATTTACTATCTGCAGTGTGGGAAGCTTTATTCTTTCTTGACTTTCTACTCAGAGCTTTCTTCTATACCTATTTGCTATATTTACTTGTACACAATTCCCCCATATTCTTTGGTGATGAGATCATGTGCAAGAAATATGTGTGGTTTCCTCTGCTTTGTCCTATTCCTGGTGGAATGACTATTATTTTTCTTTCCTAAAAGGCATTATAACATGCTAAGAACTGGGTGGGGAATGGATTGGCCCTATTTGATTAAAGTATTTAAAAGGTGTTAAGAAAGTGATTTCTCTGACTTACAATGCTTTGCCAGCCAACCTTCCACGTATGCAAGGTCTACATCTGTGAATTCAACTAACCACAGCCTGAAATCTTCAGAAAAAAATAATCCAGAAATCTTCAAACAGCAAAAATTGAATTTGCCACCTTGCAGGTGTCATGCAGTGATGTGCAGGCTCACTCTGCTTAGCTTCCCAGCATTTCAGAAGAGACTCGGAAGGGTCTGTGCTCCACCTGAGCTTGCTCACCTGGCATCTCATTCATGCAAAAGAGCTACCATGGTCGCATCTGTATGATGTGAAGGCTTTTTTCCTTTGTCATTGATCTCTAAATAACACAGGGAAAAAAGTTTATTACATTGTGTCATGTTATTTGTTTTAATTTTTTTTAACGTTATGATTTTTTACATGTACGTTTTGTGCTATGTCAAATTAAGGTATCCTTTGAAGCATTTATAGCACCCATAAATAGTGAAAACATTCCAAATCCTATATAGAATCCATTAAGATGGATTCGATTTTGTAAGTAATCTAGATATGATCTAAAATGCACAGGACACAGGAGGTATGCTTAAGTTCTAGGCAAATAGTGCTTCATTTTATTTAAGGATCTTCAGCATGTGTGGATGTTGTGGTCTATGGGAGTTCTGGGGACCATTTCCCATGACACCAAGGACAGCTGGTCTTCCACAGCGCAGCATAAAGCCTTCAAGGTCACTAGGTGTATCTGTTTATTCTGTTTGTGGGAATAAGGAGAAGGTTTCTCCTCTAGTGTTAAGATAGCACTATTAGTAAAAATTCAAACAATATGGATTTAGATATGGGAGAAACCTCAGGTAACAAAAAGCTTCCTTTCCCATTCATGGTTCATCCTGTGCTCTAGCAAGGCACACGGAACCCTCTGCCAGGAGTTTCCATCCATACCCTTCCTGGTCACTTTCTGGACACTTACATGCACTTACATGTGCACACTTGCCTTTTAAAAAAGATAATACTATCTACATTTTGTCATTCAACTTAACAATTCGATCTGTGGTATTTTTGTCATTGTTAGATTATCTGATATGTTTTCTCTTATTTGTATAACTTTTATTGATGTATGTTTAAGATTTTTTGCTTATTGTTTTAAAAAATATTTATTTACTTATTTAATGATATAGTTCCATAAGCTCTGGGATTTCCCCTCCTCCCTCATTGTTATTAAGTGCTAAACTGGGCATGCTAAAGATACATATTTATGTTGATATAGAGTTATTTCTGTAGAAACGAGGATAGAAAAATGTAGGTTTGAATGTATGTATATAATTAATTTTGATGACTTACCCATTAATAAGTATTTTTATTATAAAAATAGATTTATTGTCATAAAATCAATAACTAGTTCTGATATGAAGAGCATATAAATGTGTCCTTTTGTTTGTGAGGTAGAAATCAGTTTATTCTTGCACCCACAATGTGTAAGAATACCCGTTTGCCTAGTTCTAAATGAACATTCATTGTTGACAGTATTTTCTTTTTTCTTTATACAATTCTGATGGAGCAAAACTCTGTCTTGTTTTAATTTCATATTCCTCAGTATTTTACACTAGCCTTGTATTTTCTCACTTACATTAGCCTTGTATTTTCTCACTCTTTTAGAAGGAAAGTAGCCATTAAATCATTTAATGTAGAAATTAGACCTCACCAAAATGCTTTAATGTAATGTTGGTCATGGAAAATGATAGGAAGGTAGAAGTTGAAATGTGTGAAAATGAAGAAGAATGGAGGCTGCAGGCGTAAAGTGTGCCAGAAGAAGGTGGAATAGACAGAAAATACAGAGGAAAATAGGAAGGTGGAAGTTGCAGCAGCACTGCCTGCAGAGGTAAAGTAAATGTAAGGGTTTGAGAGATGGAACGTCCATTAGTAGCAAAAAATATATAAAGACATGTCAGACAGATGGAGGATCCTGATTCTGGGAAGAAATTTACCTAAAATGCCCTTCTTTTTTGAGAATATACATACACATTATGCTGGATTTACAAAGGTGTAGGTGTAAAATTGTTAGGTAGCTTTTTAATACTGTAGTGGACAATTGCCCATTTAAATTGTCAGCTAGTATGCAGATCGTCTGGGTTCAGGTTTCTACACTGATGCAGATATAGAAGAAAACCCATGTTTTGGTCTTTGTGGTTAAAAATTAGTCGATAATGTAGTTTTGGCACTCTTTGTATCACCTTTACTTTCTTTGACTCTAAACATATAACCTATAAAAATAATGTATTTGGCAATGTTAGAAAGAGAGGAGAGAAAGAAAATATCTTTCCACTCTTGGCTTACTCCTTAAATGGCCACAATGGCCACTCTGGTCAAGGTAGAAACCAGGATCCTGAAATTCTACCTGGGTCTCTCTACCTGGGTATCAGGAACCCAATTACTTAGGCCATCTCCTACTGCTTTCCCAGGCTGTTTGCAGAGAGCTGGTTTGGAATTGGAACAGTTGGGACACAAACTATATCCCAAATGGAAAAATCAGCATTTCAGGAAGCTGCTTAACAGGCTATACAACTATGCCAGTCCCTAATGAGTCTCTTCTTGATTTATATTGGGTTTTTAAAGAATTTTATTTAAAATGAATTATCACATATTATGGTGGATATGTCATTTTAAAATTATAAATATAGTGACCAATAATTTTCTATTGTAAAACCAAAGTTTTGTTGTTTTGTAATAAAAATAGACTAATATGACATTCCATGTTATAGTTGATTTAAGTGGATAATGCTCATTGTAAAAGAAAATCATGGGGAAAAAATATCAAGCTACTATTGCAACTTAGATTTTATAGGTGTTTCTTTCCTTTGGTTCATTGTAAAATTTACCTACAAATAAAGCTACGAGCATCAGGTATGAAGTTAGTTATTGTGATTTGAATTAGTTATTGAACTGCTGAAGTAGGTAATATAGGATATTGGTAATTTTTTGAGGTATCAGTAGGTTTTTTTAAACAGTTGTCTTTTCTTGCAAATAACTTGATGTTAAGTCTTTCAAGTTCTTAAAAGTAATCCATCTAGCTACACGTTTCATTAATCTTGAATGCATATTCCCTTCAGACTTCTCACTGAGGGGGAATCCTGTATGTATGTTATACATAATTATGTATTTTATATATAAATTTATATAGATATATAAGCCCTAGCCTTTATTATTGAAATGTGTTGTACAGTCTATGAACTGGCATAATTCTCATTATTTTAGTACATTATCATCGTTAATTCTCAAAACCAACCCTGGGTATAGATACCATCCTCATTTGGAGATAAGGAAGTGAAATCACAAGATAAGAAGGAATTTGACTAGTGTTATACTACTAGTAAGTAATATGCCTTGGTCTTTAACCAAAGCAGGTGGACACCAGACAGCTCAACTCCTAATTAATAATAAATGTATTCTGCTTTAAATACTTCTGTATTGTTTCTTTTGAGGTAATGGAAGGGAATTTTAAATAAGCAGGCCACAATCAGACTCCAACTAGAAACATTTAAATTATACATGACCTTCTAGTACCTAGTGAAGAATTTGTATTACTGCTTACATTGTCTAAAAGTCAGAACTTATGATGACAATTTTAAACAGAGTTATCATTTAAAAGCTATCACTATGGGCGTACATTCAAAGGTTGGCAAACCTTTTCTAAAAAGGACCTGATAGTAAAGATACAGGTGAATTAATTCTTTCTGCTTTTTACAATTCTTTTCTTTATACAGTCCTCTCCAAATGGAAGAGCCACTCTTAAGTTTCATGTTGTAGCAGAATGACAAATCACTAAGTTTGGTTGTATTTGCCTACGCCTGGCATAGACTTGTTTGCACATATTAAAATTTCTCTTCTGTCTGACTAACCATCTCTCTCTTTTTTCTAAAGATTTATTTTTATTATTTTTTTTATTGGAAAGGCAGATATACAGAGAGGAGAGACAGAGAGGAAGATCTTCCATCGATGATTCATTCCCCAAGTGAGCGCAACGGGCCGATACTATGCCGATCCAAAACCAGAAACCTCTTCCGGGGTCTCCCACGCGGGTGCAGGGTCCCAAAGCTTTGGGCCGTCCTCGACTGCTTTCCCGGGCCACAGGCAGGGAGCTGGATGGGAAGTGGGGCCGCCGGGATAGAACTGGCGCCCATATGGGATCCCAGGCGTGCAAGGCAAGGACCTTAGCCACTGCGCCATCGCGCTGGGCCCCAACCATCTCTTTTTTATATGTTGTAAAATGTTTTGGTTTTGAGGAATGATCTACAGTTCCTTAATGATCACTTACTGAACACATGTGAAAACTTTGTTAGGGTTCTCTAGAGAAACAGAATCATTAGGAAGTATAATGAGAATCCTATAAGAGGGAATTTATTGTGAAAATTGTCATGAGACAATCTATTGACTACAAGTTGAAGGCCCAGAACGTCAGTGGTGTAACAATCTAAATTTGAAGGTCTGCGAGTCAGGGCAGGCAACGGTGTAATGAGACTGAAGACTTGAGAAGCTGGGATTCTTATGTCCTGTGGTGGGGGAGCTGGATGCTTTATCAGATGCCGAGCTTGCAGATTAGTCTTCCTCTCACCTTTTTTGATGTATTTGGACCCTCCATGGGTTGGATGATGCTTGTGAGGGTTGACCTTGTTTATTAAATCTGATTCAAATACCATCACTTCTGGAAGAGACTCACAGGTACACCCAGAAATAATGCTTCATCAGCTGTCTGGGCACTCCTAGCCAGGCAAATGGAACCATAGATTGTCTAAACATCGCAAATGTAATATGCTGGTGAGCTGCTGACACTATGAGGATTGGAGGCAAAAGCCTCAATGAAATTGAGCTTTACAGAGATCAGACTGGGATATTAACATTCTCAGATCAAGTACTTTTCTGGGATGATGTTCTTTCTATAGTTTAAACCAGCATTTAAACCCTCATTCCAAGAAATTCCTGTAACAGAAACACATACTTTTCCTGCATTCAGAGCTACTGTATGCAGGCTTTCTGACCTATCCTGTGTTCTCTTCGAGTTTGTGCATATATACTATGTAAGTTTTTCCTTTGCTTTGAGTGTTCTCAGCATCTTTGCTGTCACTAAAATGGCCAACTTTGAAAAGAGGCTTATCAAACAAGGAAGTAGACTGTGTACTTTCAGTAGTTTAAGATGATACGTTAATGTGGTTTTGAGCATTTTATTTACAGATAATTATTTGGAGATAGGCAGGAACAGTTTATCCAGTGTCAGTGATGATTGAGTAAGAGGATTTTGTATTATAACTAGAAACTGTTAACAAAGCAGTCTCGCAAGCACTCTTTTTAAAGAGTCTTATTCTGTTTTACATTGGTAAGTGAATGATTATGTGGACAAAGATTTTTCTGATCTCTCCTGAAGTTCTCTACCAAAATCAAAATTGGTAAGTGTAAAAAGGCAAGGACTTTCTTCTCAGCTATAACTCATAATTTACCAACTGGATGTAACTTGTTCAGTGAATCTTTTTTAAGAATTATGTGTCTCTAGAGTATACAGTCTATTGAAAGATTTTCTCCTATGATGTATTTTTAAATGATCATCTCTCTTTATCACATTCTTATCTTTTCCTTCCAGAAAGTATCTGTATGTCACATCTTCCTTTAAAGGGGCACTTAAAAATGAAGCTAAAAAGGCGGAGGAAGAAGTAAAGATTGGTATGTAATTAACCATGGCCTATGTGTTATAGTTCATTGTTTCAGCAAATGTTATCAGAGCACTCATTCTGAGATGCACATGATTGCAGGCATCACAGGAGCTGTCACAATTAACCCAGCATGATTCCCACCTGTACGCACTGTGGCCACAGACTCTTTATCTCTGGGTCTGTTGAATTATATTATCATTATTGCTATCATTATGATCCTGAACACATTTAGAATTTGATACATATCAGTGCATATTGGTACAAATTAGGCACTGGTTTTCATGGTAATTTCAGGGCACACCATGGCATTTAGTTTAAGGAGAATATTATGCCCATTCATTCATTTTTTAGTGGCAATAAAGTTACATTTCCTCAGTCTTCTGGGACTGACAAAAGTTCTATATCCTTACTTTGTGGCTCTGAGTTATAGATTCAGTAATGACTTTTAAGTTTAATCCTGTGAATGAATGTGCTGTAAATTGACACGCATAAGAAAGAAAAAAGCAATGGAAAGAACACTTAACATGTGCAGAGCTGTGAAGAGACTGTAGAGTTTTTTAAGATGAAAATGTGTATGTCATTTTCTCTGGTCACAGCTACATGTTTCAAGGTTGCTTGATAAAAGTTCACTCTCTTCTGTTCGCAGCTGAGCTTGCGTTGAAAGAAGCACAAACCAAAGTAAACCATCCGGACACTACTTCTTTGTCTCCTGCCAAGGTACAAGATAAGAAGAGCACTCTTGTGAAATGGCAAACAGTGTCATTTGCTTTTTGCTGTGCATACTTGTCTCTGATCGTTTACCTCTTAAACGTTTAAACACAGATGGACCCAGAAGACTAAGTTGATTTTTAACAAAATAAATAAGTGCTGAGAAGGGAGAAGAAACCTAGCCAGTCAGGAAGAGTGAGACAGCAAAAGCTGAAATAGAGAACAAAGATGCATCCCACGTGGGGTGCCTGTGAACAGTGGGGTAGAGCATCACAATTTCCTCACAGTTAAACAGACAGCAATACTAGAGAAGGATAAAATAATGAAAGGCTAGCAGAAAACTACTCGCTCATCAAGTCTTCTTGAAAAAAGTCTGTTCAAATTATAGCTCCGTGCGGACCCAAACAAATGTGAAAGCAAGGAGAAGACTAATAAGCCATCTTTCTTTTTAGAACTAGGAATCCTGTACCGTAATTATCAATATTAATAACAAAGCTTCCAGCTTACTAAGCTCTTTTTTTCATGAGTTGCTCTGCACAGTTCATAAACATTCTCTTCTATCCCTGCAAAATGCCCCTGAGTGAGGTGTTATAAAATTCTATTGTTATTAGTTATAATTGGTGGCAACTAGGAGAAATAGAATATGACTGTAGGACCTGCATTGTAAAGTTGCTAAATTTTAACCAAAAAAATATGGCTACAAAGATTTTTCTATCATAATGAATCATTGAAAAACATTTTTTTTTTTAGTGCAAAAGGATAAGTAGGAATAATGCAGAGAAAGATGCCCTCTTTAACCATTCTTGCATCAACTTTTGTGGACTAAATATATGAATCCCTCAGTGATTTTCTCTTAAATTTCCAAGGTCCAAGGCTGTGTTTCCTAACAGCTTTCATATGCTAAGGTCTTTAGTAGGGGATAAAATCAGAAAGTAGCACGTGATAATTCCTCAAAGCCAACTATGCATTGCTTTCTCAAAAGACTTTTAATTTTTTTTCCTCTTCATGTGTTGTTGACATTTTGGATTGTGTTTTATATAAAAGTAAGTGTACTATTGATTTTTATAGTTTATGTTTTTAAAACTTTGTCTCAAATCAGCTACCTTCCTTTGTGTCTTTGAGAATGACTGAAACCGATTGTCCCCATTGGGTCAGGACCTCGCTTTCTTCTTGTCCTAACAGGTTGTATCACGCTGCCCTTTTTTGCTGTGCTGTGAAGGGCACTGAGGGGAAGGTGGGGAAGTCTTTGACCAGCTGGCTTTGGTGTTCTGATGCATCTTGGTTTCTTTAATGTAGGGAAGGGGGCAAAGTAGGATGTACTGAACTTTTGACCTCTGCAATTCTTTTGTGCAGTAGAATTTTGAAATAAAATAGTTACCAGTCATTTTCTATTTTCTTTTCCTTGAAAGACAATGAAAATACTGTTAGTTTAGTGGTATGCTTCTAAAAACAGATGCCCATGTTTCATAGCAAGTGAATTAAACACAATAAAAACTTATGCTTATTTGTGAGAACTGTATTAATGAATTGTTCCCTTCCTCCCTGTCTGGAGAGGACATATTAGAGACAGGGTAATTAATTAGCTGTATATCAAATTATTAAAAGAGTAGATAAGGAAGATGACTGGCAAAGGTATTGGTGCACACTTCAAGGCAAAAACCCTAGGGATGAATTATCCTTGTAAAGGGAGAGGTATCCAGAACTTGTTCTAAAAGACTTTTTTTGTTTATTAATAAAGGTTTTACTTGCTTTCTCTTCCTGCCGAAGTTTTAATCATCACATAGTTGTGCATTTCCAATTTTCACAGACAAAAAACCACAACCATAACTCACCCAGGTTTTCATGTAATTTGTGTCAAAGCCATTGTGACAATATAAGGGATATTCTTTTTTCCTCTAAAAGGCAGAGAGGATATCTGAAATGTGCAAAAAAAGAAAACTGTAGGCTAGCGTTTTTTTAATCTTCTTAGCTTTTGGAGCTTAGTCATTTGTCAAGTGCTTGTTGAGTATCTTCCATGGCAACATTGCATTAGACAATGTGACCTAGCATTGTTACTCTTGAAGCATTTGGATAATGGGTTAATAAGAAATTCGCTTTTCATTACTTCAGCGGCTTAATGTCCTCCCTCTACAAATGTTCTTTTCTAGTTTGCATTACAGAAAGCTTTGGAGGATGTAGAGGCAAAGCGTAAGAATCTTAGAGAGAAGCAGAGGTAAGACATGAGGTTTTCTGTTTGCAGGAATCCTCTACAATGTTAACTTCTAAAGACAGATGCAGTAGTTGCTTTGACAATTTCTCTTTTGCTTCTTGGGATGTTTCATTATTATAATGTTAATACTTCCAAGGTTCCCCAACAAAAATGGAAAATATTTTTAAAGTATACATTTGCATATGCACAAGTATGTCTCAGTTTTAGTAAAACTTTTGAAAAAAAAATGAACACCTAGTTCAGCCTTTGGATGAAAATACATAGATGAGCTACTACGGGAGTCAGCTGACAATTTCACTGCCCCTGTGTGTCCTGTGTACTTGAGGGTTGCTTCAGTTCTCTTCCCTGGTGCAGTAGCTGAAAACTTAAGATATGAAATAGTGTTCCAGTTAGGGTATCATTTATATATCCAAAATAGAAATGGCAAGGGTAGGTTATCAAAACCACCTATTTTTTTGATTGACTTACTTTTTCCAGCTAAAATGCTAAAATTATTATTTTATCGAAGTGTGATCAGACTTTGAAAACTGTAATATCTCTGAGAAATTCCTTTCTTAAGGAAGTATTTTAAGGATTCCCCTTTTTGTTGGTCAGTTGTGCCCTGTCACAAAGCATATCTTTTCTCAAAACAAATTTGTAATTTTACTTATGCATTTTTCAAAGTAATTGACATTGATTCATAGAAGTTTTAGTTGACAGAGAAATCCCTCTTTAAATTCTTTAAGAAGAAAAATCCTTCTGTTGACTTGCTTGTAATCATAGTGAAATGTATTGAAAGTGACACATTGGTATCTTAATAATAATAATAATGCCAGTTATTTTGAACCTGTTTTCATAGAAAAATTCTGCTTCAAAAAACCTGAAGACAGTCAGGCTGTCACTCAGCACCACAGAACAATGTTGTCATAACTTAAGTGCTCCGTGCTAGGATCTGTTTTAAACAGTTGGAACTTTGTATTGTTGAAGATTTGGGATTTCATTACTAAATAGAGATTTCTAAAAAAAAAAAAAGTACTATCTATATGTCTTTTGCTTTAGATGTGCATATATTTAATAAACAAGTATTAATCCACATTTTCTACCCGAGAGAACCTCATGTTCTCTGTATCCAATTGGAAGGACTAATAGAACATCATTGTCTTTTTTATGATGTATGCAAGTAGTGAGTTCAGTAAGTTTGTTGCATCGCATGGTCATGATCTGAAATGTAAAACCATGGTTGGGGAGTCAGGACAAGGGCAGGGGAAGAATTTTATATGGGTACCATTCTTGATTTTGAATGGAAAATACCACTTGTTATGAATCTAACCTGTACCAGGATTATAGTTAACATTCTGCTTTCAGTCCTCATGAGATAACTTGTGGCCAGGTAGGAGGAATTCCCATGTTTGAGGTGCAACAGAAAGATTTAAGTAGCTCATCCATAGTTACAATTGCTAGAAGATGAGCTTGTATTATAAGTGAGGGCTGCCTCTCATGTCTGGGGCACTTTTCAGCAGGCTATTGTTACTATCATTGTTCCTGTCACAGTGTACTGTTCATCAGTAAAAGTCACCTAGAGTGGTGTGGAAGGACAGTCAGAAAACCAGGTGTTCACTGTCAGTGGCTTTGTAAAAGTGATGTATTGGCTTTTATCTGTGTTGTTTTGAAAAATTTTATAGAGAGATCAAAAGAGTGTATTATAGCATATTCAAAGTTGTGTCAAATGTTTGGGGACCTGAGAACCTGCTAAAATGTAGAAATCCAAAGTCAGAAATACCTAAAATTTAAAATAGTCGACTTGTTACTTTTCAGTGTATGTTGTAGATAAGTTAGCATCCAAGAACTCTTGACATTGTCTGATTCTTGTAAGTTTTAATTGGCAGAGATATTTTGGAAGCAGTGAACATATTTGACTGGTGTAGTTATTGATGTTATTGCTTGTACAGAATATGAGGCTGTAGAGTGATGCCAAATATATACAGTGGGCTTTGCAAAACATCTGAATATCTTATTACAGATCATTCCTTCCATGTTTACCTTCTGGCTTTATTTATGAACAATTTTGTAAACTATATACTTTTTTAATAAAAACTTTTCCAAATATAATTCTAGGGCATTAAAAAGAACACAAACACTCTCCCTGTTTTTTGGAGTGAATATAGAAAACCTAAATCAAGCTGGAATGTTCATTTATAGTAATAACCGTTTGATCAAAATGTATGAGAAAGTGGGTCCACAACTGAAACTGAAGTCCCTGTAAGTATGATTTTGTTTTCAGATGCACCCACAGGAAGTGAGAGATGACATTTGGATTCTGTCTGTGGACTGAGATGATTAATCATAAAGGGAGCAGGTGTCACATCCTTTCTTCACGTTTCCTGTCAATGACAATGACTTGCCTAATTTGTAATATCAATGAAGCTGCATCTGTGCTGAAAGAAAAAAGCTTGTTTTTGCAAAAAATTTTCAGTGCATTTCCTGGACAGATTTGGTGTTTTACCATTATCTGATTTAAAGGCAATGCAACAATATCAAATCTTTGGAGAGAAAGGAAAAATCTACAATCTTGTAGGGATGTTTTCTTCCATTTTATGTATGAATTCTTGCCAGTTACTTGCATAAGCATGTGTTACTAAACATGTTTCCTCATTTGGAGCATAGAGTAAAACATTCTGGTACTTTCCCAATGGTCAGAAATCCTACAAATCCCACAAGCAGCTTTCATCAAGTATGTAGAATCTGAAAAGGAACCACAGGATAAGACAAGAATCACCAGTATAACTATGACCAGTAACATTGGTTGGGAGCGCATCTATGAGCTTTCATCCTCACTCCCAGTCAACTTATTCATTTTCATTCAACAGGTGCTTCTATAGTAGTGACATGTGCAAGATGCTATCATAAATGAGGCAGAGAAAGACCTACTTTGTCTTGCCAAGAAATACATAAAGCAGGGAAAGGAACACGATTACAAACGAAATTATAAAAATATATGAATACAGCAAGAATGGTCTTTTAAAACTTAACTGACTCTTTTGCTTAGAATCACAGTCCATTTAGAACACAATGGCTGCCTATGGTTTTGGTGATCTGTTCTCTGCCTGGCTTGAGGACTTCACTCTTCGTCATCCCCTGTTCCTTGTGTCTCCTAGTCTCATCCTTGCTCAAGGGCTTCAAATTTACAAGTCCCTCTGCCTGGATCCTCCTGTCCCTGAATCTTACTGATGGCCCTAACATGCCATTCAGGCATGAACTCTGAAGTCCTGGCCACAAGAAGCTCTTTCATGATTGTCTAATTAGAATTGAACCCTGCCATCAGTCATTTCCATATGTTGCTTTTCACATATTATAGAACTTGGTATATTTCCCTTAATATCATTTATTATTATCTGAAATGATGTGCATTTATCTGTTTATTAGTGCTTTTTGTGTGTCATAGCTAGTAGAAAGAAACTTTATAACCTTGGACTTTGTCCTTCCTGTCCATCAGTGTATTCCTGAGACAGAGCCCAGTGTTAAATTTGAAAGAAAATGAATAAATACATAAAAGGAACAGTAGAAACCAAGTGGGAGGTGTCCTGGAAGAAATAATGTCCCTAATTAGATTTACAGGATGAACAGTGAAGGGAAGTCAGTGTACTTGAGAAAAGTAGGGAAAGATATGATGGGCAGTGGGCCCAAACTGGGAAGGCATGACTTGTGCACCTGGCCAAAGGGCAGTGAGTCAGGTGTCGGATACTCCTCCTTAAAATGGGTTATCTCCAAGAAGGATTCAGCTACACACATGTGCAACTGAAAAAAAAATATTGGAAAAAATCAAGTTTATTAATTAAGCTAACAACATTTAGCTGTTTACCTTGTGAGTAATCCATTCAACCTCAGATGAAGGCAAAGAAAGGTCCTTCCATCCAGTGCCAGAAGGAGGATTTTGCCAGTCCATTGCAGGAAGGCACCATTGTTAGCATCCCCTGTTGAAAAAAAGTCTCTGCTTCTCACTGCGCTGAACCCTTTTGTAAGGTGATTGGAAAAATAAGCATAGGATTTTAGTAGTGATATGCTAAATTAATTTTGTATTTTTTTTCTCAACAGAATTAATCTGAGATCACTATAGACTTTGGATATGAAATTTAAGTTGTTAAAGTTTGACATGGTTCACACCAAGTGAATAAGTTTGTTTTTAAACACTAGTGATTTAAAATGACAAGATACATTTGACTTTTCTTTCTTAAGCCACACTTAACAAAATACATAATATTCATTTATTTTCTTCAGTCTTGGTGCAGGGGTTATTGGAGTTGTTAATATACCTTTGGACATCTTGGAGCCATCTCACAATAAACAGGAATTTCTCAACGTCCAGAAGTACAATCATCTATTAAAAGTTATGGGACAATATTTGGTCCAGTACTGCAAGGACACTGGGATCAGTGAGTTTTCATTGGTCATAGTATATTATTTAAAATTTTTTATTTACTTAAAAGTGGAGTTGTGAAAGAGGAGGGAGGAGAGAGGGAAGAAGGTGGTGGTAGAAACAGAAAGGGAAAGAGATACATATGACAAATGTAAAAAGAGGAAAGAATGATATATTATGTAAAGTTATAATTCAGTGAAGACAACTTCTATAAATATCTGTGTACTGGAAATATGGATTCCCTCCCTTTTTTTTTTAAAGCTAACTTCCACATATAAGAGAAAACAAACTGTATTTGTCTTTCTGTGTCTGGCTTTTCCATTGGCATGGTGCATGCCAGTCTGTCTTGTTGTTGTTCTTTTATGGTTGAGTAATGTTATATTTGTTGTATGCATATATTATTTTTTAAATTTATTTCTTTTATTATTTTATGATACAGTTCTATAGGCTCTGGAATTTCTCTCCCCTCTTCCCAAGTCACGCCCCCCCAACACATACACATAGGCACACACTGATCAGTCATCAACTGGTGTGCACTTAGTTTGATCCCATAGCTTTGTCATTGTGAATACTGCTGCAATAAGTATAGGAGTTCAAGTTTCTTTCTCTTAAAAGATGTATTGTTTTTATTTGAAAAGAAGCATTACGTTGAGAGAAGGATTGAAAGAGAGAGATCAGGAGCTTCTTCCATGTTTTCTACATGGGTGATTCCTCATGTGGATACAGGACCCAAGCACTTGGGCCATCCTGCCCTGCCTTCCCAGGCACAGTAGCAGGGAATTGAATTGGAAGAAATCAAACTGGCATCCATATAAGATGCTGGTACCACAGGCAGAGCGTTTGCCTGCTATATGCCATGGTCCTGGCCCCATGTATCTCTTTCTTATGAAGAGGGCATTTCCATTGATATCTTTCCAGAGCTGGGACAGCAGGGTCAAATGATAGATTTATTTTTAGATTCTTGAGGATTCCCTATGTTTTTTTCCATAATAGCTTTACTGCTTTTCATTTCCAGTAACAGTGTTTTGGTCTTTCATTTTGTACGTATGTTTGCTAACATTCATTTGTTGACTTTTTTTTTTTTTTGGTAGTAACCATTCTTTCTGGAGGAAGATGATCGTGGATTGACTTGTATATTTCTTATGACTAGTGATACAGAGCATTTTTTTTATGTGTTTGTTGGTCATTTGTCTTTTTACCTTTGAAAATTGTATCCGAATAGGACAAATATTGTGGTACTGTAGGTTGAGCCACCTGGAGGATCATGGAAGGCATGGGTTGAGTTCTAGACTTCTGAGTTCAGGCTGGCTCAGCCCCAGCTGCTGTAAGCATTTATGTAATGAATCAGTGAATAGAAGATATTCTCTCTTTCTCTCTTTTTCCCTCCCTTTCTTTCTCTGTCATTTTGTCTTTCAAGTAAATAAATATGGACATACATAAAAACAAAACCATCTTCAAATATTATGCCTGTTTCTCAACTGGATTGTTTGCTTTGTTGTTGAATTTTTTGAACTCCTTATATCCTGGATAGTAATTGTTAATCAGATGCGGAGTTTGCAAATATCTTCTCCCACTCTGTTGATGGTTTCTTCACTCTATAATTTCCTTTGCTGAGCAGAAGCTTCTTAATTGGTATAATCCCACTTGTCTGTTTTTGCTTTTATTGCCTCTTCTTTTGAGGTTTTATCCAGAAATAATCATTGTGTATGTCAGTGTCTTGGGTAATATTTGTTTTATTTTTAAAGATTTATTTATTATTTTGAAGGAATTAGAGAGTGAGAGAGAGATATTTCATTTACTGTTTCACTCCCCAAATGACCACAATGGCTACTGTTATACTGTTTTGAATCCGGAAGCCAGGAGCTTTGTCTGGCTCTCCCACATGGGTACAGGGCACAGGCACTTTGGCCATCCTCCACTGCTTTCTGGGCACCAGATTGGAAGTGGAATAGCAGGGACTCAAATCAGCTTCCATATGAGTTGCTGGCATCACATGTGGTGGCTACCTGCATGCTGGTCCCAGTGGAATATACTTTCTAGCATGTAGTTTTTTTTTCTTTTTTTCTATTTAAAAAAAAGATTACATTTTTTTTTTTTTTGCAAAATGTACTTAAATTTGTAGGATGTGTTTAATCAAGTATCTCTGATCTTTTTTGTTTTTCACTTTTGTTTTATTTGAAAGGAAGGGAAACAGAGATGTTCTGTTTGTTGGTTTATTCCCCAGATGGCACAACACTAGGGCTAGGTCAAGCCTTAGTCAGAACAGTGGAATTCAGCCTGGGCTGCAGAGACTCAAGTATCATAACCCTAGCTTACACCTTTCAAGGTACACATTAGCAGATATGTGGGACTGAGACTCAAACTACATACTCTGATTTGGGTATCTTAAACGGCATCCTAACTGTTGTGCCAACTTATTTAAATTCTGTGATAATTCTTGTACAAGAGAACACCATTAAGGATTTGAAATTGTGTTCAACACTCCATTTTCCCTCATGTTATCTTTGTAATTCTTTCCTTGTCTTGCTCATTCTTAGTGTAAGGAGTTAAATCTTCAGAAAGAGGTGAATGTTAAATTATCTCCTTCCAGACCATACTTGGGGATGTTGTACTTAGTCCTATTTATGTGGATAGAGTCTGAATTCTTCAGCCTGCTGTGTGGCAATTACCATAACAGTTCTACTCAACAATCTAGAGTCGGCAGCCTCCTCTGCAACTCTATGTAATTTTCTATTCCTATCCTAGTTATTTCTTTTTAAAATGCTGTTTAGTTAAGAGGAAGAGAAAGCTGGAACATTGCCATGCACTTGCTCACTACACAAATGCCCTCAACCGAGCTGGGAGCTAGAAACTCGATATGTACTCCTTGTTGAACTCCTAGCTCCCAGCTTGAGCTGTCACCGCTGCCTCCTAGGGTCCAAATTAGTAAGATGGTGGAATCAGGTACTGGAAGTGGAGTTTTAGCTCAGGTACTCTGATGTGGAAACAAGTGTTGATCAGTTAGGTTAAATACCCACTCTCTGTTTTATCCAGAACTTTCTTGACAGTTGTGATTAAGTCCAAAATAGCTAAGATATTTGTATTTTTACTATTAATCATTAGTGATATTGTTTTCTTAATTCTGTATTTGTCTATGCATTGATTAAATGTGTAGGATACCTTAGGATACTCACACAAAAATGTTCCACAAGGAAGACAGAGAATGGAGGAAGGGCAGCAAGCACATGTATTTGTCCCTGCTTCTCACAGCTTCATCTTCAAACTTCATTAACAAATTGACTCAAGTAATCAAGTTTAGAATTGATAGTCTCAGTAACTTTTGAGGAGATTGCCCTTCAAGGTCTTTGCTCATTAGTTCCCTTAGGAATGACCATAGTTACATGATACTTGGCATATACTCTGAAAGCCAGTATTACAGCTCACATAATTTTGATGAAAAAGTATTTGGGAAGATTTTTTCCTTATAAATAAAAGATGCAATCTTCATATTTGCTGTAAATCTGATCTGTTTCTGTGGAAAATTTGGCCCTAGTAAAAATCGAATCAGCAGAAAGGGAAATGGAGAGGTAATGACTTTGTGTCATTTATCAAATCTGCATTTAGTTTTGGCACTGTTGATGCTAATACACTCAGAAATATGTTCCTTGCCCACGAGTCTGACTCTACCTCACGGACTGCTGTTCTGTTTTCTGGAGCTTTAAATATCCTTAAAATAAAATGGAAATATTAATCATGAGCTCTGGAGAGTAAAAGGTGGAAATGAGAAGAAGGGGGAAACGTTAAATGAAATTTGGATTTGAACAGAAGCAATTATGTGAAAATGTAGTGCTATACCCTTCCACAATGGCCAAGAGGTGAGCTGATCTGCTGAAAGAAAATCTATCCTGCAGTAAGCATAATGGTTCCCAGCAGAAATCAAATTGTAAATTTTTCATTGACAAGAAAGCTAATGATTTTATAGTCCAGTTACCGCTAATTCCTTTTATCTCCTGACTGTTAAGCCTGGCTGAGGACATGCTATGGAGGGAGAGTGTCAACTCTGACATAGACAACAAATCCTTGTTCAGTTCTGTTTGACAGTATGTCTTTGTATTAAATCCCAAACTATTTCTCGTATGTTCTTCTTTTCATTCACCTGTGTTAGGAATTACAAATCAGACATGCTCGACCCTCTCTCTCTGAATTTAGAATCTTTGGAATGCTACTGTCTGTGTATTTGTATTCATTCAAACTTACAGGTTGAAATCCTAACCCCCAGGGTGATGCTATTAGAAGGAGGCATTTTGGGGAGATGATTATGTCAGCAGAGTCCTTGTGATTAGATTAGCTTCTCCATAAAAGAAGCCTGAGAGATTCCTCACCCCATATGTTGTCTGATTTTCTCTCTTATTATAAAACTGTTAAAGATTAATGCTGAGTTCCCTTAGAGTTCCATGATAGTCTGTTTTAATTCTATCACATTTCTTCCTTTATTAAATAGCTTTAATAGTTCTGTAAAGAAAACTTTCTTTTTATCTATGATTTTGTTACCCAGCGCTATTAGTTAATGGTTTTCAGTGCTTGACAGCTGCAAAACTTTCCACTGTGAAAAAATGGCTTTGAATGAAAGCTTAGTGTAAGAAGCGTTATAGATACAATTAAAACAAAAAAGATACAGATGCTTTCCTTAATTGATTTGTGTGTCATAAATATGTACTCTGTTTAAAATCATTGGTTTTTGTTGGTTCCCAGAAAATCACAGCATGATGCAAAGTTTTATTAGTTTAATCTCTGTTAAAAACAGAAAAATTGCATTGCCAGATTTTTTCCATTTACTTTGCTTTTTATCTGATAATTGGAAGTATCACTATTGATAGCACTTATATATATATTTCTGCCTTACTGCACTTGTATTACTATGATAATGACATTTTCACGTGTATAATGAGGTTTCTTATTAAAATTTCTCAGAGGTCTCCTATATTACAAATAACATACTAAAAGGCCGTTACCATTCTTTTGAATGAAATTCAATAG